GGTCCTCTCCGAGCTGGGCGCCGTGCAGGTCAACTACTACCTGGACGAGGACAACTGCTGGGCCCTGAACGTGCAGGAGCTGCGGCGGGCCGTGCGGGAGGCCAAGGAGCACTGTGACCCCAAGGTGCTGTGCATCATCAACCCCGGGAACCCCACAGGTGTGGCTGCTCCTCCTTCCTTACGTGGTGCTGGGGGGGGGGCGGGGGGCGGGGGGCGGGGCGGGCTGGTGCGCCCGCGTCTGGGCGCTGAAGAGTTAAGGAGTGACGTGAAGTGCCCTTTGCTCCGGCTTTCCCGACCCCGGTCCAGATTCGCAGCATAAACGCCGACAGTTTGCCGCACGCCTGGTGTGGCCTTCCCCTGGGTGGGGCTGTGCTATTGCTCCGGCCGGTTTTTCTCCTGTTCTTGCATTTGCAACCTCCTCGAGGTTCCTATGCTGCAGCCGTTCAGCGTGGGGCTCGGGCTGTTTTTCTGAAAAACGCTGGGGTGTGTGTTCTTGTGTTTCTTGGAGGCGCTATTGCTCTGGACCTGGAGGCCTGAACAGGAAATGCCACATAAAAACAAAAGCAAGAACTGTTTCCAACAAGCTGAAAATCACTCCTGATTTTGCATAATTTTTCTTAAAAAGCAGAAAGCACAGTCCTGCCGTTTTGGTCTCTGGGCTGCGGGCTTCGCAGGCCCGGCTGCGATTAGGATGCCGCCCGGGTGCCGGGGACGAGGGCTCCCTCTCCTGGGTTGAGATGAACTGGGTCAGGGCCGAGGACGCCCGGAGTTCACGGTGGCACCTGCTGCTTGGGGCCGTCAGCTGCTCGGGCCACCCGAACCCTGCAGCTCCAGACACCGGGCGGCCGGCTGTCCCGGTGTGTCTGCTCCGGCTCCTGGGGTGGGGAGAATGTTCTGGCCGGAGCGGCTCCTCCATCCGGGCTGTTCCTTAGAATCACAAAGGGGGCTTTTTAAAATCCAGGCCAGGCTGCACCCCAGAGTCCTGGGGGCATCAGTATTCTGAGCAGCCGTCTCAAGGAAACCAGCCACTGGCCCCCACGCCCAGGCGCTCTGCTCTGATTGGCTGGGCTGGGCTGGGCTAATTTGCATTTCCAACACGCTCCCAGCCAGCCGGTCCCTCCCTCGGGGCTGCAAGTCCTGCTGCACCCCAGGGCGTCCCCCCCCCCTTCCCTGTGCAGGTGCCAGGGGGTCCATGGGGACCCGGCTGCCCGGGAAGAAATAACCGTTTCTTACTGTGTGAGTGCGTGTGACCGGGAGCAGGTTTTACAAGGAGTCACTTGATGAGCGGGCAGGGCCCCCTGTG